AACGGGCGCGTGACGGTAGCGTGAGCGTTCTCGATGGCGACCGGGAAGACTCGCTGCAGTTCCCGCGGTGGCCGTAAGGCCGCAGCGGCGCTTAGCTGCGAGGGCCTTCAACGCTGCTTGCAGCTTTAATTTTTAATGATATTCAACATTTTAGTTTGTTTCCATCTAAACGATGGAGGAAGGAGAACGCACAGAATCAGAGGTGGTCTTCAGCTGCGCACATTTCTTGGAGAGTTTCGGGTGAATTCAAAGAACGTTTCTAATTCGGAACCATTCCAAATTGTCCCATGGAAAGTTTCTGGAAAGTAAAAGTCATGAATACTATTTAAATTAAAAAACAAACAAACAAAAAAAACACGTTCATGCAAAGTTTGGGCGTCCAGTTTGTGACGCCAACAGTTAAGCAGGCAAAAGGTGAGAAGCTTTAAAGAAGAAAAAATATTCATCATTAATTTTTTTTTGTCTTGTACGTCCATAAACAGGTAAGAAATGACAGAAAGGTTCATGCAGAACATTTAGGCATTTAACTTTGACCAAGATCTGAGACCTCAGTTAGTTTGTTAGGACAATGATCTGTATTACTCAGAAGTCCAACCTTTTATTCAATAAACATCAGCCACCGAAGCCTAAAGCAGCTAATCTGAGAATTAAAATTAATCCCAATAGGAGGGAAAAAACAAACAAACAAAGCTGTCAAACATACGAAGAAGCCATTTACTAAAGCTGTGAAACAAACCATTATTAGGAACAAAAGACCAAAAACACGTTGAGCACAGAGCAGGATGAGAGCAGTGAAGAGAAGCACCTGAGGCACGGCCGGAGACCACCAAGACGAGCCTGCCGCCTGCTAGCTGATGTGTCGTGAAGAGGCACTAGAGCTAATGTTTCTCGGCTTTCTTGTCCAAAAACTCTGTGTCAGAAGTAACAAAATATATTTATTTTCTGTGATGATGAAACACCTACAGCAGCAAAATCAGGATGTGTGCTACGACAGGATGACGCCTAATCTCAAAATCTAAAATGAAGCATTTTAAAGAGAGAAACAAATAAAAAGGCGTAAGCCTCAACAGTTTCCAAACCGTAAGCCTGTAGCTCACGTCTCAAAACATTTGTGAGGGCCCCGCAGCTTTCTTGCGGTCTTTGTAAGAATTTTGAACACAAAAAAATAAATTGCACTAAACACAGCAGTCCCTCGCTACTTTGCGGTTCACTATATCGCGGTTTTTCAAAGTAAGACTGGACATGACACAATTGGCTGACTGATGGATGAGCCATGGGTTGTTTATTTAAAATAAATTATTTTAAATGATTTTGCACCATGTGTGTAGTCCACAAGTGCAAGAGAAAGCTCCTTCCTGCAGCTGATCAGCTGATTTCCTTCTCTGCCACTCATTTCTCCTGCTGCAGCGTTGTGAAGGGTTAAAGCTGTCCAGATGCACCAATCAACTTTTGTCTTCCAACTTAAAAATCAAAGTATGTCGCATCATAAAAATCATCATAATCACAAAATAGAAGTGTTAAAAGTTACTTTTTAATTATTTTAGAACTTCTATGTTCAGCTGTTGAAGTGTAATTGATCAAAAAGTACACTTCTGCTCCGTGCTGCAGAGCTGAAGCTGCGTGACATCCCTCTGACGTCCTGCTACTCTGCTCTTTTCTACAATTTAAATTTAAATACTGTAACATTTTAAATAAACAATCCATGCTTCATGGATTATTTATTTAAAATGTAACAATATTTAAACTATTTTTTTTAATTTAAGGAGAGAGATTGGGAGTAACCAGTGATGAGTGAGTGTGATTGCAGCCTGGCACATCATGACAAAGTTTACTGAACTTGAACTGAACTTGGACTACTGTGTCCCTACTTCGTGGTTTTTCCACTTATCACGGGCGGGCGTGGTCCCAAACACCCACGATAAATGAGGGACTACTATATACTCAAAATATTCAGTCATTTCAGGGCCCTAGAATCTTTCTAAATGTAGTTTCTGTGAATCAAACAGAAATGTGAGAACTGTGGGAGGTTTATCATCATCCTCTGATCTGACTGAGGATGAGAGAGGATAATACGATACAATCAAATCGAGACAGTCATGAAGGTGACGAAACGGCAGCAAAACATTCGCATGTCATTTGCAGGAAGTTTGTGCAACTACAGTAGTCCCTCGCTACTTCACAGCTCGACTTTCGAAGACTCGCTCTTTCGTGGTTTTTCAACGATCGTCAACTTTAATATTACTCACGTGATTGGGATGTATGAGATAAACAGTTAACAAAAACATAAATAAATACTGGTGTTGCCATAATAATGGTGCTGCCATTTTGTAGTTTTCTTTCAATAAGCCTACACTGTAAGATCAGTCAAAAACTACATTACCCAGAAGTCAACAGTACTTCCAGCCGTTGTTTTCTGCCAAAATGGAGGGAAGTTTCGATCCGATCTGAACCAGACTAAAAAGTTTGGTCCTTATAATGAATTTGATGCTCAGTGGATGCAGAGAGCTGTACGGAACTGACTGGGAACTGGACCGGGACTACTTCCAGCCTCATTGATCAATCTGAGTGCTGCTTGCCGGTCCATGAGGGCTCTCGAACGGGGAGGTGTTGTTTGGAGGTCAGGTGTTTTCTCCAGAGCTCACCTGGACTTTTTTCATCCAGATCCCTCTGGATTATTTGGACTCGATCTGGACCATCGTGTGGTTTTGTGACGGCTCTCTGAAGGTCCGCCTCTCTCTAAAACAGGGGTGGGCAATTATTTTTTCCATGGGGCCACATGAGAAACAGCAAATATTGTGGAGGGCTGGCACAAATGACTTTTTCATTCAACCTTTATTTAGACAGGTAAATCCCATTGAGCCTCGAGGACTCATTTACAAGAGAGACCTGATTTCAACTTAACTCAATACTGCATAATAATAGTATTTCATTATTAAACGCAGTACATAGCACTGTTTTAACAAGCTGGTAAGAGTATTTGTTATGATTAAGCAACGAAAAAGCGAGGTTTCCTTACAAAAAATGTCATTTATTCAATTAAATTCCCCAGTACAATGGTAAACTGTTAACATTTTTACCATTGGTGACGTTATATTAATGATAATTTTCAGTCACATTCACCCCAAAATTCATTTTGAGTTTTATATACTGCTGGAAAAAGTTCTTAGCTTTGTAAATATATCACAATATTGTCTTTGTACTCCAAATATTATGAAACATCATATAATAGTGATCGTCACTGAACTGTGATTTCGAGTCCCGGTTCTTTACGTGCCTACATTTGTGGTCTAAACAGCTCATTTGGTGTTTTTCAGTTCTTTTTTCTTGTTTAGTGAGAGAATTCTAGTCTCTGTTGGGCTTTAACGGAAATGTTAAAGTCAGGTTGAAGGTCTGAGGTGGAGATGTGAAACAAAGCTGACATCATCAGTGAGAGAGGATCTATATCTGGATTTGGTTAACTTCATTTGTTTACATATGCATTTTGTAATTCCCCTTACGGGGGCCGGTCAGAGACAACCAAAGGGCCGCATGTGGCCCTGGGGCCGTACAACGCCCAGGTCTGCTCTAAAAGCATCTTGGTGCTCAACGGCCGCAGAGAGCTGATCAGAACCGGACCAGAACCAGACCAAGGCTGGTGAGTCCCCATATAAAATTTTTGCAGTACTGTACAATAAATATACATATGTTGTTAAAATGACATAGTTTTAAGAGTTTAGAACATTGTAAAAGGTTTATAAAGCCATATATATATATATATATATATATATATATATATATACATACACTCAAATATAGTGTTCCTACTTCATGGTTTTTCACATTATCGCGGGGGTGGGTTGTGGAACGTAACCCCCGTGATAATCGAGGGACTACTGTATCGATTTATTTGCAGTGCTGTATGTATGTAAACATGCGAGTTGCAGCTGCAGCCCAGTGACACACAGGCTTCAACATTAAGAAATAAATTTGTGTGAGCTCATCCCTGATTTGAACTCCGGGGCTTCTTACAAGAACAGACAGATCTCACAAGAAAAAATGCAAAATAACTCGCAGAACGAGATCCCTCACAGAACGAGAAACCTTTTGCTGGAAAATGAATGACGGCATCTCAAAGAAAAACAGAAATTATTAAAAAAAAAAATTTAATGAGTGAATACAGGTCCTTCTCAAAAAATTAGCATATTGTGATAAAGGTCATTATTTTCCATAATGTAATGATAAAAATGAAACTTCCATATATTTCAGATTCATTGCACACCAACTGAAATATTTCAGGTCTTTAATTGTTTTAATACTGATGATTATGGCATACAGCTCATGAAAACCCAAAATGCCTGTCCCAAAAAATTAGCATATCATGAAAAGGTTCTCTAAACAAGCTATTACCTAACCATCTGAATCAACAACATAACTCTAAACACCTGCAAAAAATTCCTGAGGCTTTTAAAAACTCCCAGCCTTGTTCATTACTCAAAACCACAATCATGGGTAAGACTGCCGACCTGACTGCTGTCCAGAAGGCCATCATTGACACCCTCAAGCAAGAGGGTAAGACACAGAAAGAAATTGCTGAAC